ACCTAATAATTCACCCAAAAATGCATGCAGAAATGAAGCTATAGAAGGAAAAGTCAGCTAGCAAGCAAAAAAGTACACATGCACAAGAAGAAAAGAGCAAAGGAAAGCAAAGAAGAAGAAAGCAAAGAGCCAAACTAGAAAGAATCTGCACTGGGGCAAACAGTCAAAGAACACACAGAGAAGAGAAAGAGTGCAGCTAAACTCCAAGAAGCTGAGGATCAAACCAGAAGTAGCACAGAACCACAGCAGAATTTGTTTGGCCGGATCTTCGTTATTGTGCAAAACACATTGTAAATGAAGCTTTGTTTGTCCATACGTTGTATGAACTGAGCCAATAGTAGTTAGTTAAATAAACTGTGGCTAAGCAAACTGTGGTTTAATTTGATGGGTTAACATGGGAACTTTATGAACCCTTGACTGGGGATTGTAAGCAATAGATAAAATGTGAGAAGGGGGGAAAAAAACTGCTGCTGCCAATATGATTTCCTTCTTGATCTCAAAATGTGATGGAAGAAGCCAGTCCCAGTCACACATATCTTTCTATCTTTTTAAAAATGTTACCTGGGAAGGCTGTGAGCCAAACAGACTAGTAAAAGGAAGGATCTGAGGAAGAAACTGCAAAAAATGTTGTTCCCATTCAAAAGCTGATTTGGTGAGAAATCTCTCCTTTTAAGATGGGCTTTCATTCTTCAGGGGAAGGAAAATCCCCTCCTGAGTCGGGGACACCAGACAGTTTGCAGCAAAAAAAGGAGGGAAAGGTTAGGCCACTTGTTCTCCTTCTTATAGCCAACCACCCATGTCTATCCTGTGCCTTGTCTAATTTAAACCTCAGCTGGAAAAAGAAAAGAAGCAAAAAAAGTGGTGGGAATCTATGCACACGAATAGAAAGCATAAAAACGAGGAAAGAGACAAAGCTATAGGAAAATAGTAAGAGACGAAAGAGAGGAAAAAAGTATGAGAGTAAACCATTAGAGGAACGAAGCTGTGGAGGAAAGCAAAGAATGAGGTGATGTGGCCTCAGGGTGAGCAAAACTTAATGGAAAGCAAACTATAACACTGGAGCAGAACCAGATTGCAAAAGGAAATAGAAATTTATTCTTTTGGACAGCTATGTCGCAACAAAAATGTATTTTTAAATGTAAGGAATCCCTTTTTAAAATATCTACCCGATGCTCATTTATGCAAAAATAAATGTCAGAGGTTTGTGGCATCTATGTTCCAGTAATACCTTTATTTGCAATGCTGATCTGCATGTGTAGCAATGTGAGGGAAAACTCCTGAGGACAGAAGGGACTATGTGCTCCTGTGCTCATTTCAGCCTGCACATGGGAGAACAACAGGTATCAAGAATGCCCTCCAAATTCAAAATGAGCACAGGAGGAAAAAATCTAACACAAACTATTTCTCATTCCTATAGTTTATTTGGTTTCTCATTCCTATAGTTTATTTGGCTTATTTGGTTTGGGATTTAATTTTTACTTGAAATGCAGGCAAGTGTTCTGAAGTGGTCTCCTGCAGCTGTAGCTAGTCTGTACTAGGATAGCCAGGTACAAAAGAAGGAAGGGCTCCTGCATCTTTAATAGCTATACCAGTAAGTTAAACTGCAATAGATTTTTGTTGCAGTCCGTTAACTCAAGATGCAAAAGGCCCACTGTTTGGAGCCCCGTTTCTTTAATAGGGGTGACTGTGCTGGAGAAATATTTTTTTAGAAACATAGGCAGGGGTTCTAAGAGAAAGACCAGCCTTTCAACAGCATTGAGATGAAATAAATTCTACTAAGACAAGAGATCTTAGTTTAGCCTGCGATAGTACTAAGAAAAGGCATTCTTAAATAGGGCGAGACAAAATATTAGTTTAGGAAAAGCAGCATGTTAGGAGGGGGAAAGTAGGCTGTGGAATCAGAAACAACAGCACTTCATATCACATTTATAGCACTTCAGATCAAAGTCATGGATACACTCCGCTCGCTTTTGGGGATAGTGAACTGGGTCAAGTAGAAAAAACCCAACTTTGATTCTTTTAATCTCTCTCTCTCTCTCTCTCTCTCTGTGTGTGTGTATGCATGTGTTTGTGTGTAAATACACATAATTCTCAAACTGGTTACTATTGTATTTTCCTTATTTTATTTGTTGTGAGGTACCCAGAGTGGCTGGCCACAATACGAATCTGATTAATAATTAGGTCATTTCCTCTTATTTTTATTCTTATTAGATTTCAGCCAAAATTGCCCACTAAGTTCATACTTCACAGCTACAGAGACTAGAAACGTAATTCACCAAAAGACAACATTCAAAGTCTTGGGGTGCTCACGGCAAACATACAGATACAGCAAAACAAAAAACCCAGCACTACATAATGGCTTCATGAGAGACCATTCTAAAAATGGCAAAGATTCACCCTATTTTATTACTATATTGGATTTCCTGTCTTCAAAGGGCAGTAGAAAAGCCTGTGTTAGCAGCCAAATTTTTTTAAACAGGGGCAGGCAAAGCTTTTAGGAGACACTTTGAGAAACGCATGGCTTCTCACAGGTTACGTGTTTATTTTGTTCTGCTATCACCATTACCTAAACTGTTTGGCAGCTTTAAAAATAAAATTAACCTTTTCTCTGTTTTCATCCACATTTCCCCAAATTAATGCCTATTTCCAATCTTAGCCTACCCATTTCAGAAAGCCCCCTACCATGCCACCATCCCCTCCCCACTTCCCTGATGGAAGCCAAGAGAGCATCGTTCTTAATAAGGGAAAGAGCAAGGATGCAGCAACAGAAAAAGAGATGGGGGAAAAGAAAGAAAGAAGAGGCAGAGTAACAGAAATTAGCCAGAATCAGAATTTTATTACAGTAATGTGGAAACAGCAGAAAAGAGGACAAGCATCTATATAGAGAAGTTTTTCCCTGAGATATTGCATTGTGAACTTGAGAGGCACCGCAACATAAATTCAGAAATACAGTGAAGCAAAATTGCCAGAAACAGAAATAGATTCTGCTTTGGGATAACAGCCTTTAGGAGAAAATGATGATTAAATATATTTCTTTAAAAAAGAAATGTTTCAATAACACCACCAAGCATGTGTATATATCTATATCAGTATATATGTCAGTGGATGTAAACTTCCCAATCAGTGACTTTCACGTTTCCGGTATTACTAATCTGTTGATCTTTCCTGTATATCCATGAATAAAGTATTTATTTGTATTCCAGCTAAAACATTCACATTTTTAATATAAAAAATAATAACTCTTCCCCATTCATTGTTCTATATTTATGAGATCAGTCCCAGTAAAATTAGAAGATTAAAATAAGAATGGTTCAGAGAGGAGTGTGAGGCACAGTTCATACCAAAATATATTAGAAATGTCTTTTTAAGTGCACAGATTGCAGTGCAAAAAGTTTGTATTGTTATCATTTTCAAAAAATGTTGAAAACTTGATGCAATGGTGGATGTCATCAAGTACAATGCATATACTGTACATATGCATGCTTTCCCATATACTGCACTGCTGCAAAAGGGCCAGACTAATTTTAAGCAGATGTGTGCTCCAGCTAATGCATGCTGGACATACCGAAATAATGACAAAATGTTTGAAGGCAAAGCCACACAGCTGGCTCAGCTCCCATTAATCAAGCCTGTGCCCTTAATATGAATGAAGGATGCTTCTTTTTGCCAGCCCAGTCAGTTGAAAATAGGGAGATGGGAGCAGTTTGCTATTCAATTCAGACAAAAAAAAAAGATTCTGCACAGGAGAAGCCTTGAAGAACTATGAAAAAAGCACTCCCAGAAGTCCACGAGTCATAAACGTTGTCTCTTGGATAAGGCTGTGTTCTCTTGAGGCAAGTAAAGCTATGTGTCATTCCTGCAAACAGAACTGTTTCTTCTACATCCTGGCCACTGTGTGTGTGTGGGGGGGGGGGGGAAGGATATCTGAAATGAGTTGACATATTTTCATAGCTGAATAAAAATAGGGAACATTTGTAAGCAAAAACTTGATTTTCATTTTTACAGAAAATAAGAGCCTTGTTTCCGCTACTGAGCTGATACCCAAAGCAGATTGGAAATACAAGAAAGCACACATACACAAAAAGGTAGACGAGAGCTAGCATGAAGGAGAACAATATAAAAGAGCAGTCAAGGTGAAAGAAAAGTATAGGCAATGAGGAGAGAGAGCAGAGAACTACAAAAGAATCTAAGTGACATGGCGACAGCAGCAGGGACCATATGACCCTCCAGAGGGGCTTTTCCAGATAATTCCCAGTTGATGGCCAGAGGTGACTGGAGCTGGAACCCAACGATCTCAAGAGAGTGGCTTATTTTCCACTCTTGTTCCATGTCACCTTCAGAGATCAGCTGGAAAACTATTCTGCCTTCTCGCTCAGGAACTGTGGGAAGTGTATCATGAGAGGGTTTGGACTGACTATTTTCAGCAATTTCCAATAATAGTTCCCAGGTTTCCTGGGGAAACTGTTTTAAGTGTAAACTGTGTAAATCTATTGTTTTGGAAATCAATTATTTTACAGTGTTTGAATATTTGATCAGGTGAAACTGTGGTGCTTCCATCCCACAGTTCCTTATCTGAGGCTGTAACAATTATAAGAGCCTCAATCCAGATTTAAAATGCACCAGATCCAGTACAGAGACTGGAAGCCAATTAAACGGTTGGAGAATTTTTGGATATTCAAGAAATAAAATGGAGTTACCAAGTCCCAAACTTGCTTCCCCAGTCTAACTGAAATTGGATACCTATGGGTCTCAAGACCCATAACTGGGCTACGGTTGTGTATCTGCCGTTTGATCTGCATTTTGATTTTGTGTGCTGCCCACCTGCTGGTCTCTACCCAACCAGAAGATACAGAAGAGGCCTGAATTGTGAATAATGCTAAAATTTCTTATGGGCTCAAGGAAAATTCCTGAAGAGTCCCCAGGGTATTGTATTGCTGGGTGGGAGATAGCCACATCAATGGTCTAATTCTCTCCTTCATACACAGACTCATACACACCCACACACAGAGAGACAAGGTTCTCAGCATGGGATCCCATCATCCGGGCCATCTCCTGGTTGCTCAGCCCCAGTGTTTGGTCCTTCAGTACGGAGTGAAGCGATTGCATCCTCCTCGGTATAAACTGGCCTGCCAGAAAGAGAGAAAGCAAGCAGGAGAAGTGAGAATTGCCTTCCTTCTAAGGAAGGACTCTTTTCTACCTGTAACTCAGTCACAGCCAATAGCACTGGAATTTTAAGGAGAAGGAAGAGACAAAACCAAATTGATAAAAGAGGACACAGGCCCACAACTGCCCACCCTCCCTGAACTGAATAGATCTAATGAAAGGAAATGTCCATTTTGAGGGAAAAATTAATATCCTCTCTAATCTCTATTTTACTTTCCTGCTGCCGTGTAATGCCCTCTTTTACTTCATCAATGTAACACATAATTTCAGACCATTTCATCATTACTGTCACAGGAACCAAGGCTAAAAAAGTTACACTGGTGGTTTCACTTCGGCATTTCCCTACAAGGGAGATGTGAAAGATTCCATTTTAAAAGTACTGAAGATTTTCCCCCGTAAAGATAATTCAACAAGCAAATCAAGAACCAAAATCTGAATCCTACTACCTGTGCGATGTGGGCTAGCATTGATGAAACAGAAACATTCTCAATGAGTAAGTGAACACTGCCATCTGCTGGCCATTTTGCAGTAATACAATTGTGCCTCATTTGATACAGGGAGGTTCTTACCACCACAATTAGAACCAGAATTTCCATCGCTAAGCAAAGTGGTTGTCTATGAGTTTCACCTGATTTTACAACCTTTCTTGTCATGATTATTAAGAGAGTCACTGCACTTGATAAGAGAACTGCATAGTTGTTAGCCAAATCCAGCTTCCCCAATGAGTTTACCTGCCAGAAGCTGGCTAGGAGGGTTACAACCCCAGGATGTTGAAATTGTTGTTATTAATACATGCCAGTTGCCAAACTCCTGAATTTTGATCACATCACCAAAAGGGGTGCTGCGATGGTTGTTATGTGCAACAATCAATCATAAATGACTTTTTTCAGCATCATTGTAATTTCAAATGGACTTTAAATGAATGGTTGTAAGACGGGAAGCATCTGTATTAAGATTTTAAAATTTCAAAAAATGCCCCAATTCCCATTCATAAAAACACACACTAAGAGTTGTGGCTTTGAAAAGCCTGCGGGAGATGGATAAAGAATCTTACATCTGTGTGTTTTATATTTCATGGAAAAAAGAACTATATAGATCTATAAGTTTATATTTCAAAAGTTTTATTCTTCCCACATGAATCTGTAGTCTTCAGATCCATGAATTATAATTGACAAGGGTTGCATGATTATGTATTTTTCTAAACATTTTTTTCTGTTAGTTTTCCTTCCTTTTTTGCCATTTAAGATCAAAGTAATTGATTCGGGAAGCACAGCGTCCTCTCTCAATGTGCAAATGTTTTCTTCTCCAACCAAAGAGAGATGCTGTTCATCTGCTCGGTGTCTCTATCACTAGAGTCTGTGTTGTACAGATATTCTTGGCTTACAGTAGATGACTGGACAGCATGACAACTGATCCTGCCCAGCTATCTTTTCAAGATGTAGCATGCCTGGCTCATTCATGAAGTGACTCACCATGGCACCAACTCCATAGGCAGGGGTTACTGTGTGGTGGTAAGGCTCAGCAGTAGTGTAGACCCGTCCATACCTGCATCAGAGAAAACATCAGCAGTCAAGATGGGAAGGGGGGAGCAGGGGTTGGACTAGATGACCTCCAAGGTCCCTTCCAACAACAACATCATCATCATCATCATTATTATTATTATATTATCTTAGGCTCATGGACCAGATATTGCCCAATAGGCTTCCTCACTGGGGTAATCAACTTCTTTCTCTAGGAAAAGAAGGACATTAAAAACGAGGGAAAAGATTTTACTCATCAATTAGCAGCTTGGCAATTTTGCGACGTTGCCTGCGGAAAGGACAGTGCTAATAATTCCTGTACCCTTTAAGAATCCTTTCCCCTGCAATAGATTTAAAACAAACAAACAAAAAAAAAAACGCCCAGACTCAGGATAATCCAAGCCTCTACATACCCATCACTGTATGCTGCTGCTGCTGCTGCTGTGGCTGCTGCAGCTGCAGCTGCTGGTGTCTGGGCCACTCTGTACGCTGTAGGATAACCCTAAAATTCAAACAGCGGCTAAAATAAAAATTACTCCAACAGTCTGTAAACATCCTGCTATCCCCCCCTCCACACACACACACACACACACACACACACCAATTTCTTAGGGAAAAGCAGGACTTTATCTTGTTTTCCTGCTCCTGAAATGGCCTGTTTAAGAGAACTTTGAGCAGTCTTTCTGCCTATCTGATTGTGCCTTGAAGAGATTTTTTTTTCTTTTTCACATAACTTTTTTCCATCTTTACCTATACTTTCAGTTGTGTAGTTTCAACAGTCGCTCACTCTCTGGTGATAAGCAACTGCGTTTTGTGTACTTGGCAACTGGCCTGCATTTACGGCCATTTGCAGTGTTCCACAGCCATGTGACTGCGATTTGCAACTTTTTTTGGGGTGGGAATTGGTGTTTACTTCTGGATTCTGGCAAAAAAATAACCATTGCAGATAATTGATTCGCATAACAACTGCGGCGTTCACTTAACAACAGCAGTGTTCATTTACAACCACAGTGATTCATTTAAAGATCATAAAATCAGTTGTAAAAGAGTTTTAAAGACATGGTGACCTGCTTAACAGCTGGCATGACTTACAACTATAATTCCAGGCTCAATTACCATCTTAAATCAGGAACTACTTGTAGTCTGGCCTACTCACCTATCTAGACTTGGCTTAATCAACAGATTAATAAAAATGGGACTGGGTTGCTTATGATGCAGCAGGAATACGCATAATGTTTCAAAACAAAAAGTTCTATTCTCAAAACAAGGGTTCTAAGCACAAAACAAAACTGAGTGTTTCAAGAGTTCTGTTCAATTTTAGATCAAGTTCAAAATAAAAATTAGCTATGTTGTAGAGCTTTGCTTGAGTGTTCCAACAATTCTGAGTACCTCATCCGGAAAATTGTTCTGTGGTTTGGGACTGGGTTGTTTTTGGGGGAAAAAATGCCAGCAGAGGGATACGGATCATTCATGTTATTGTTGCTATGATTTAGATTAGACTGAGTAATGTGGTAGTGAAAAGGAATCACTGCTGCATAGCTCAAACCTAGCCAACTGTTGCTTTTAAAAAGAATAAAGCAGTAATGTGGCTAGAAGGATAGACTGCCTGTGCTGTTGATTTGTTTTGCAATAGATAATACAAAGCTATGTGCATCACACACATATTGCTGCTGAGATTATATAAATGTAAAGACTATGACTGCAATGTTGGTTTGATTGGTTTCTTAAGCTCTGGTATGAACATTCATGCCATTATGGCCTCTTAATACTGAGCTTCAGAGTGCATTTAAAATGTGTAGGCTCTAGTTGGTTTGAAGTTTGTTGAACTTTGGTATACTGTATATGTGTATTTCATACAGATTTCTGTCTTTATTTTATATTATGCCAGAAAAAAAGAACCACTAGCAGGGAAAAGAGCATTAAAGTGATTAGCTGCTTTCTTAATCTTACAATCTGTTGGATGAATGACCCAGAGAGTTTACAGAGCCCTCCGTCTCTTCTCTCTGCTGAGAAGGAAGGGAACTTGGCCACAGTTTTTCTGAATGCACTTAGCAGGTTGCATGACTCCTTCCAATGCCTACTCAATGCCATGAGTGCAAGAAACATTATGTCACGCCTTCTTTTTATCCATTTTAACTTTATGCATGATGTTGGCATACGCAAAGTCCTTTTTGACTCAGTGCCCCCAAAGGTCAGCAATCTTATCCCTGCAAAAGGATCATGAGTCCTACCACTCCTTTTCTGCTTTGGGACAGTTGGTGCTGGGCACCCATCCAGCACCCTTGGATTCTAATTTCCAGAAATACCCAGAGGAGGACTTACGTAGAGGTCAGAACTGTATAGACCATCTGGATACAGCACGCTGGGTGAAAAAAGAAATATCAGTATGCAACAGGAAATATCTTTCCCTTCAGACCCACCCCTTTCAAATACAAGTTATCCGTCTTAAGAAGCTGCTTTTAATTATGTTATATAAGATATGAGGAGCAAAACATGACCTTGGCCATGTGCACAGTGCCCTTCCCTGACCATTTAACAACCAGAAAGAAGAACTGTGTATCTGGCATGAGAGACTACAAGTCTTCATAGTAGTTGAACCAGTTTTGATGTTCCTATGTCCACCCCAAGAATAGCTGAATCAGGCTTCTGTTGCAGCCAGATAGTTATTGAGAAAAATGAAGAAAAAAGCAAGAATATATGACGTTTTTATCTATTCACCGCACTTCAGTTAATGAGACATAACATAGAATTGTAGGGCTAGAAAGGGAGTCTTCTAGTCCGAGTCATTTCTGAAGACTTCATTTATTTGCATGCTGACTTGAGTTTACTAGAGAACAAAATTCCACCACGAGTTCCTCTCTGCCAATGCTCACCTGCCATAGGCTGGAACTGGAGTGGGGGCCGGTGCTGCCCGAATGGGATTATAGATAGTGGCTCGGCCACGCCCGCGCAGAGTCCCACGATAAGCCAGAGCAGCAGGTGCCATCATGGGGTAAGGAATGCTTGCCACTGAGTTAGAGGAGCAATAAAGACAGAAACATTCCATTACATGAGAGAGGCAGATTTGGAACAGAAATAGAACTAATCAGGACAAAGAAAGGGATTGTTTTTTTGCTCCAAAGTTTTACCAGTGGAAGAGGCAGAGCAGCTTAGAAAGGATGATTCTAAGAAAGCAACCAAAATTAAATGTGCTTAATGTTTCAACTTGGGATAAAAAAAACTAGGCCTAATCATCCCAAAAATTTGAGTGGGATGATCTCCTCTTACAACACGCTGGGAGGATACGTCTATATCTGATTTGCAACAAAAGATTGCTGCCAGTATGTTTTCTGTCAACATTTCAATTTTTTTTAAATGGGGTAATAAAGAAAATACCAGCATTTGATCAAATCTTGGCAGTCTCTTCCTTTTTTTTTTTTAAGAAAAAAATGTACTTTTCTTTTTTTATTATATCTATGTATCTATATATCTATATCTATATCGGTCTGTCTGTCTATCTATCTATATCTAACAATTACATACTTTTTTCTCTTGCATATGCACACACACAAGCCCTTGTGGTCACATGATTGTGATACATGTGCTTGCTAACTAGCATGTACTTACGAGGGTTGCAGCACCCTCGGGGTCACGTTTGAAGGTGGCAACCTTCCCTGCCACCTTCAAACAAGCAAAGTCATTGGGGGAAGCCAGATTTGTTTAATGACTGTGGCAAAAAAGATCGAACAATGAGGCAGTTATATGATGACTATAGATGCTCTGGCCCCAACTTGGGTTGTAAGCCGAGGACTACCCGAATGCATGTATGCCATTCACACAGCATATATTCCTAACTAGTATGCATTCAAAAGTCTGTGTGTATGTGTACATGCATTCGTTTTATGCCAATGTCGCTTCCTACAATTTGACACATAACACACTAACCTGTGTACAGATCAGGAGCATAGACAGCGCCAACTACAGGATTGATCTTCCATCCTGTAAGGACATCCAAGCAAAGAGAAGATCAGATGATCAATATGCCTATCTTATTTCTTCTTGCCTTGCCAATCATTCTGCATATCTGGTCACTCTCCCAGCTTACCAGAACCTGCACAACCTTAACTGGACATGCCAAGTCATTTGCATATGTGTATGTTTTAGAAAGATGGGGACAGCTGGTTGAAGTAATTCTGTCTCGTTAGTTGGAGTACTCCAGCCCTGGAAACTATTGCAAATCCATGCCAGCCACAGAATGCAAGGGCTGAAATGATGCCTTTGTGGAATCTGCATGCCTGAGGGTCTTAAATATTCCCAGCCCAATACAAACTGCCCTGTTTATTATTTGTTTATTCTGCTAACTTTATATACAATTTCCTGCTGGTATGTATAAAGCCTCTACAGTTGAAAGTGCAATATCTAAAGCATATAGCAGGGCTTAGGGTCTAAATCAATCTTTTTTAGCCTGGGCGCTTTCCATATGCATAGATTTCATCTCCCAGACAGCGTGGCCATTGCCCGGAATTCTGGATATAGAAGGCCAATATATTAGGTTGATGTCAAGGGTAGAGAAGACATATCAATAACTTCTCCTAGCATGCATTTTAGTTTCCTCAGTATCAGAGCTTCTAATTATCAGGAAAAGTTGGGGTAAGGCAAAACAGGACAGGGCTGGATTTTCCTTTTCAATAGATGAAGGTCTGTCTCAGACCTTGGAGTGTGACATCGAATGTGTTTTATCCCCTCGGACTCTGCAGCAGGTTCCAGACAATTGAAGCCTAAGTCTTTCAGGCAGAACCATTCCTACTGTCTGCACTTCAGCATAGAGGCCTTTTTATAAGAACTGGCCAATGGCCAGTTCAGCCTGGCAGCCCCACTGTAACAAAAACTAACTGGAAGATATAAGCTGGGTTTGTCCAACATTCTTAACCTGGTTATTGAACAAGATCATTTCCTGAGTTTACACATTATTCTTGAACAATGAGACTTTTTGAAGCATTTGGACCGAGCAAAAGTGAGAAAAAAAACCCAAACTGGTTGCATTTGCATAACATATTAAGCCACAAAAAAAATTAATCAATCTGAACAGGTCTATACCAGTCCAGTAAAGTATGTTGTGTATCACAGGAGCAAATAAAAAAGACACAGAGCACTGTGTCAGTCAGAACTGGCAGCTTTCTTGTCATTAGAAATATATCATCATTATCACATCCTTCCTATGCCCAGAGAGACATGGCCAATGACATTGTAACATCCTTGGTTTGGATAGGGCCAAATTTTTCAGTACGGTTTTGCAAGGTTTTTGGGTAGTAGTGGTGAATGGATGCATTTAGCCTGGCAAATGATTAAGGATGCTTTTGGCTCATTAACCTCCTCCAAATCAGAATTAGTGATTTGGGGATAGAGCTGGAGGGTTTTTGAGGTTAAGCTTCTGAAAGTCTATGACATCAATTAATTCCTTAAAACCCCTAAATACCCCAAATGAAAAAAAAAGGCAGAAAAACCATAGCCATTCCAAAGTTGGAGGCTCTGGAGGTTAAAATAGAAATCTGGAGTCTGGGGAAAGATAGTGGGCGAATCGCAGTGTCTTGCCTTAGCCCCAAGCACTTACTTGCCCTGCTAGGGGTGTCACCAAAGATGCCATGAAGTCAGAAAAATGAAAGAGCTGCCTTGAATAAAAGCAGGCCTTGGCCTTGGCCTTGGCTGTCATACTCTAGTGAGAGAACTCCGAACTATTTGTTTTAAAGATGGCATTTAGAAGCAAGCATATTGCATACCATTCACCAGAGGTGCCACTGGGGGTTTCTTGGTGACTAAACGGGCAGTGGCATTGTTGACCTGCATGGGAGAAAAAAGCAGGAAGTCAGATCAAAGTGCAACAAGATGTAGTTAGTTATAGTAGGAAAGGCAGACTATTATTATACTTTGTCTTTGAAGAAGTCTTTGCAAGACTTTGGTTGAATTCATGAATAAATCTCTTCAGTATTTCTTGCATGCAGCATATCCTGCTTCCCTGACTGTTAAGTGTAACATTAAATCTTGGTAGGGGAACCTTCAGCAAAGAAGAAAATACCATGTTGAGCAAAAACTGGTATGCTGATACATGTTTGTATGATACATAGATTAAACTCTCACCTCAATTTTCCTCCCTTCAACAATACTGCTGTTCAGCTTTTCTCGTGCCTGGTCAGCATCTTGGCTGTTTTCAAAGGTGACAAACCCAAAACCCTAAGAGAACAGAAGATCTGTGTCATTGTGGAGCAAACTGGAAAGACTGACTTACATTGCAAAAACAATCAGAAGGCTATGCAACTTTCAGATTAAATTATAAAAATCAGTCTTCTGTAGTTTCCCTGTGATCCTGGAAAAAGATGTGGCTGCTTCAAAAAGTTGCAGACGTGATCTTTCTCCTTTAAACAGAGACTGTGTCTATGTGGTGGAGGAATAACTGAAATGTTTGAAAACATTCTGTAATAGGTGCTCACCAGGAATTATTATTTCCATTCTTCACTAAATATTTTGATTTATGTTAAATTATTATCAGATTAACCTGATTTTATTTCTTTGACCACAGCCAAGAATTGTTTTATAGTTTGCACAGTACATCATATTTATTCTAACCTTTTTTAGATATTGTAGAATAATTCATTTCCCTTTTTATCCTAATTAATTGTGAATTTAGTGTTTTACCTGCTAGCCAAGACCAAATAAAGATTGATTGATTGATTGATTGGCAGAATCTCTCTTGGCATTCTAAAGCATCGTTTTGTTTCAAATCCAACACATTTCAACCCTAGTAATTCTCCCTATTGATCTTGCTGCCAATCCTGAGACCTTTTTGACTTCAGCAACCTTGGAGCATTGGAATTAGAAATACTAAGCTAAAGAAATCAAAGGCATGTTATTATTAATCACTCTTCCCCCTCCCCTTTGCATTCCTGGAATCATTACTTGCTTCCTTCAAGTCTACTATACGTTATTTCATATATTACCTTTTATTTATTAAGCTTCTCACCTATTTCTCTGTGAAGAGCTTATCAATTTACACAACCATTACTTTCTGGTTATTCTCTTTCTGATGACCCACTCACTTTTCCACTATATTTTTGTTTTGCCATCTCTATATGATCAAACCGTCACAACAAAAAGATTGGTATAGGGAAATACTATTCCTGATATTCAGGTATTTTTAAAGAAATTTTGCCATTTACAAAGTCTGCATTTCGTGTTGTCTCCAAACTAAGGTGGATAAATGTGTCAAGGCAATTTTATCCATCCATCCATCCATCCATCCATCCATCCATCCATCCAATTTATTTGCTTCCCCTCTTGTGGTTCTGGCAACTCTGAATAACTTGCAAAAGTTCTGGCTGCATTAGTAGGATTCCTAAAATTAATGCGACCTTGCAATGAGGTGGCATTGCTTGCCAAGCACGATGGATTTGCCAAGCGCCACCAGCAAATCCTGAACTTCTTTTCCTCTGAGAGAGAACAGACAATCCACAGCTTTCCTTTGGAAGCCCTTCTCCATGCAGTACCTTTGAGCCACGCTCATTAAAGATGATTTCCACGTCGAGGATTTTTCCAAATTGCTGGAAAATAGGAAGAAAATCAACCATTGTCAGAATGACAATGCACAGCCTAGTTTTTATCAAGAGACTATGTCATATAGAGGGCCCAAATTATATATCGGCATTTGTTGAAAGAATATGCTTGATTATTTGGTTTGTTTTTCTACCCGAAAACCAATTTTCTTCGGCTGAGATTAATTCATATATAGGGCCCAAATTATAAGTCAGTATTTGTTGAAAATATATGCTTGTTTTTCACTCTACCCCCAAATCAATGTTCTTCAGATGAGTTGGTGCTTCCCGATTTCAAGATCTGATTTTTTTTTTAAACTAAAGAAACCAACATAAATGAACAGATTAAGGAACCCAGCATTGACGTCAGGCGAGTCTCTTTAGGGATGGGGTAGAACTGACTTACTCCAAACATCTGCCGCAGGTCCGGGTCACGGAAGCGGAAGGGAATGTTGGACACATGTAAGCGTTTTGGCTGGGCTTTATTCTCCTCACTTTCTGCATCCTCTGTCTCTGGAGATAGCTCAGGTGCAGGGACTTCTTCGGGTTGCTGTGGAAAAGGGTGGGAGGGGAAGAAAGCAGGATCACACACATCCCTGGGTCAACTCTCACCATATTCACCAAGAGAGGGGTCTTCCAAATTTTATAATTCAGCCACGGGTGAGAAAAGGTGGCTGAACTTGTCTGAGAAGAGGCTGAATTCAATTCAAGTTCGAGGCAGTCACAAGGGAAGATGCTGAACTTTGTAATGTGATGACTGCAGTTCATGGAAAGAAACATAGATGCCATGAGGAAAAAGGAAGACTTACTGTATATAGCAGTATCTCCATGATAAATGTATTGGCATTTATTTATTTATTTATTTATTTAATGTATATGCCACACATCTCATTTTTATTATATAGGAGAAACCAAAATGGTTAAGTTACATAGGGTGGCAGCAGCCCCCTTCCCTCCTCTATAAAACTTGGTGATCATCATCCTACATGTTGAGTCTTGAAAACTGTAAGGACCTATTGAACTAGAAGTGTCTTTCTCATGTAGAATGACCCTTCTAGGGTTTTAGGAAAGAATCCTTGACATTTTCTCCAGCCACATGGCTGGAGATTTCAGGATCTAATGTCCCAATTCTCTTGGAAGGTACCAATTGGACAAAAGATTGCTTTGAGCAAATGTATGAGTCCTTCTGCCAATGCAACGAGGTATTCTTCAGTGGGCTTAGCTCAGATAATAAAAGGCCTAATCCTTTCTATGCTTTCTAGACTATTGATTGCATTTGGCTTATGATATAAGAGAAGAAATATCAGAACTGACTCCTGGTTCCTTTTTCCTATTGTCTCTATTGTTTCCTATTATCTCCACTAATTTTCAAATACCACAGTATTCACTAAGAAGCTACAGATAAATGTAAATAATTACATATATATAAAACTGCAAAGAAGAATTCCTAGGATGATATCATTAAGAATCCAAGTGGAAGATCCTAGGTTTTTGACCATTTTCTCAAGTAATTAACAAATGAAGAAAAGTAGCCCATCTGAGGCAAGATTTCTAGCCTAATTGTGTTTCAGATGGGCCAATATTTTGTGTGCCTGGGTATCTCCTAACATGAGGGAGCATTTTATCAAACCTCTAGTTCCTACAGGCGTAAGTGATGCTAGCTGAGCATAATAATGTGGTTCCCCCCCCCCCAGTTGGGAGGAACTGCATTAAAGGAACAAACAATTATCAAACTCCCATCACTTTAGGTTCTCAGGCCTATTTTTTGCCCTTTGAAAACCACCCACAGAATTGCTAACTTCATCAATGGGGTCATACTAAGAGTTTCCTCCTCTAGATATATGACTGCACATTAATTTTATCTAACAGTAATGACTTTGAGATCTGAGAAATCCAGAGTTCTTCTCCATGTCTTGCAAATCCCAATTTCAATATAAAATCCATTATTTCCCTTTAAAGGGAATTGTGGTTTTTTTTTTTCTTTCCAAGCTTCACCACCCACACATCCAAAAAAAGAATTCACCGAGAACATATTTCAATGCACCAGCAAACATTCTGTCTTGGGTTAGCGAACAGGACAGACACATGGCAGCATACAGAAAACCGTTAGTGGAGAGAAGCAAGACTGGCTGAGTGGATGTAATTTATGACAAAGTTGTGGAGAAGATCTGAGGGCCTGGTGGCAAAGAACCAACCCAGATCCACATCTCTTTCTTCTCCATGCAGGTGGCCCTTCTTATTCCACAATGCAACTTCCACGATGCAGCATTCTGAGAACAGACCAAATGTGCACAGCCTCTGTCTTGCAATGTCAGAAGTGCTGAAGGATTGAGGGAAGAAGAGAAGAGCCAGAAGAGCAATTAATCTGGCTAGGGGTGGGGAGGACGTTGAACTTGTCTTCAAAATTCCTGCCACAAATTAGCCTTGAGGGCACGGCCTATAAAGGGCATGCATGATCACCTATGGATGCACCTACCAGAAAAAATAACAGGCATGTCAAAAAAAGGATTTGTGGGGTTGTTACAACTTCAAACACAGATCTAGGTAAACGCAATTGGCTGGATACACATCATGCTAAATGGGTAAACTATTTTTCACATATCATGATGGCTAAAGTTATAGGAGCAAGCAAGTTCCCCTTTGAGCAAAACATAATGCACAAACCGGACCAGTTTATTTAAAGCATATAAACAGGTAGCAATGGCTACAGCATGAGAGATTAATCACAAAACAAGACTAACTGTGTATGAATGGAAAGAGATACTGTACATGGTATGTATATGGTAAAAAGTGCACTGAGATTCCTAGTAGAAGGATACATCACTGAATGCTTACCTACATGCTTGCAATGCCATCTACCCTTTGTAAATTAATTTAGCCCCTAGTCTGAAGTACTTTAATTCTTTTAAACAGCCAAATACACTGAGAAAACTGTGTTTGCAGTACATTTCCACAGAAGAACACTAGCATATAGCAAAAGGCAAGATTTTCCATAACATCTATGTGTAGGAATTATTTCATAAGGAGCTGAGCATTTGGATATATGAGCCCTTCCTGCTATCTAAAATGATACAATCCAGAAATAGGTTTGCTGCTCTATCATCTACTGTCTATAAAAAAGAGGTCTATTTTAAGTCAAACTATCTGGAACATATATTATTCAGTTGAACTAATTTAATATGTGTTATGAATTTTTAACCTGCATTTGATTATGCCCTTAGGCTGGAAAAATATAGCATCTTCCTTCTCAACATTTTCTAAATTTTTAAATTCTGAAGGCTGGCATTTATTTTTCCAAAAACAGAAGGGCTCGATCTGAGTTGGAACCTGAAGCATCTTTTTATATTTTGTCTGGAAGAGTATCTTCAGTGTGTAGCAATGTGTTTTATTCAGTACCAAACCAGAAATTGCACAGCAGACAAGAATAATGTTTCCCACCTTTAAAGATGAAAAGCAGCTGTGGGAGGTAGTAGCTTTGAGCTGAAGTATGGCAATGAAGTCAGTCTTCTCCAACCTTTCCTTCCTGAATTTCCATTCAGAAACATGTCTCATGAGCTGCTTTTCCTTGCCCAGAGATTGGGTGAACTCAGTTTCCCTAATGAACTCGGAGGGAATCAGGCGCAGATCAAACTTCCTCTTCTATGGTTCTCCCTTTTATTTCTGAATCCTAACCAGAATGATATCCAATGTACACACCCTCTGTGAACATGCTTACAGACTAGGGAACAGGACAGTGATTCTGCTTGTCTTAGCACACAACACCTGTGTGTAGTATTAAAGCACATGGACACACAATTCTAGCCACTCCCAAATGCAGACAACCCCTCCAAGCAGTAGCCATCCCCCTCAGCCCACCAAATCCTCCCCTGTGCCCACATTCCTCTACTCATCCCAAGGGCAACACAAAACCTTAGTTCCCATTGTCACAACCACCTCCCAGTAGCCAGATGGATTCCCCCAAAATTACAGAGTCCTGCTTATAAAGACAAGTTCAACAGGGATTAAATTCTTTCCAATAGGGCCCAACATTTGTTGGGAGGATAAAATGCAGAGGGAATGGTGGGATGGGGGGGGAGTTCAAGTGTCAGGCTGAGAAGACAGGCAGGTGCAGTTGCGCAGTGAGTAGGTTAACTATTCATGTATTAATGAGACTAGAGCCAGAGAAATGTGATGGAGTCCAAGATGCCTGGAAGAAAACCTGAGCTCGGCAGGAGGTCCGCACACGTTGCCATTAGCACCTCGGAAAAGGCCCTAGTCCAGGAAAGACACAAGGAGTCATTACAAAGACAGCTTTGCTACAAAGCTAGGAGCAGCTCTCATGTTCCATGAGGGAAAAAGAAAAAAGAAAACACACAGATGAGTTACAACAACGCCCTCTATTTGGTCCACCAAGAAAAGTGCATAAAGGATGTATCAGTAACTAAAACATAAGATCTGCTATGAAAAAAAAAGCTACAAAACTTATACAAAGGGAGAAAAAAACAGACAGGACTGCTACTATTTCAGCCAACACATTCACCATAAATGAAGCACTTATATTAAGCATTTTAGACATAATTGACACTCAAAATGGTGGGGGGAAAATTGGACAGAGTCAATACTTATTTATAATAAGTACATCTTTAATAAATACCGCTGTTTTAAATTTCCAGCACATTACCCAAAACACAGCCATGATTCAGTAGTATCTGAGGTGACGGTGGGGGTCAGACAGAGTCTAATCCCAGCAACATCAACTTGCAGAAGTTAGGAGGTGAAAGTAAAAAGGGGAGATGCAAGCATATGGCCAAGTATGAGCAAAGCTCACTCTCCCTTGAGGTATTTTGGCATTTATTTAGTGAAAGGAAAACAAAAATCAGAAATTGCATGGGTGTACAAGAGCCAGGTGCTGAATTGGCAAGTAGGTTTGCCAACTTTTGAAAAAGTCCCTGCAGTTGTCTTTAAAAACAATGTGAATTATAGGAATTAGCTGGTGATTATATGGGTATGAAAAAAGCTGGTTTCTGCAACTTATGTACTACTGTTAGATGCATAAGAAAAAGAAAAGTGATTTGAACCCCCTCCTCCACGTTTCTTCTTGTTTTTCCTCTGGGCAGTTGGCAACCCAATTAGTTTGGATATTAAGCTAGAAGGGCAGAGAGTAAATTAGAGTCTATGAAAGAGACTTGAGTAATAAAGAAAGGTCCTCTTAGAAGCTTTGGGCCTGCCCTAAGGCAACTGGCTTCAGGACAAATCAAGATTTTTAATTGTCTGAGTAAAATGATGCTCTCTACCCAGTTGTCAGGATGCAAAAAACCTAAACTTTGAAAAATGATTTGGCATTTGGGACTGAAAACCCCACAATCTCTCCCTGGCCACAAAATGATGGCAAAAACAATACAAATGTCAGTCTAATTTCCATCCTGTTGTAAACACCTCACATCTGCTCAAGTCAACTCTGCATTTGGCTTCATGGTAATTAATTTATTAAATTAATTTATTAAATTCTTATGCTGCCCATCTCTCCTACAAGATGACTCTGGTCTATCTTATCTTGTAGGTCTATCCTTG